AATAACTGGGCCTTAGAACAATAGGGTTTCAGGACCATGGAGAGCTGCACGTGCCTCTACCTGTCTCAGCAGCTTTCTAGGGCATTAACACATGCTGTGAATTCCACCTCCATACAAGGCAGTATTCTTTCTTCACTCTAAAAAGCCTCCCTCACTCACCCTTTCAACTTCATCTACTCAGATGTCACCTCCTCTTGGAAGCCCTCCCGGGTCATTCCCCCCCTTGCCACCACCCTACTGTGCCAAGCTAATGCATCTTCCCTTTCCCAAAATGCCCTAAGTTGTCCTTATTATTCCTCTCTTATACAAATATTTCAATGTGTACTTTGTACCAGCAACTCATCTAGGCTCTGCAGACACAAATGAGAGCGTGCTTGTAAAGGCCCATGTATTTTGTAGTTTACATTCTAGTAAGAGACAGAAAACGCGTAAGATGACGATAGCTATGGAACAAATATAAAGTGTGCAATGTTAATAGTATAGTGGGGACAAGGCAACATTACATACTGTTGTCAGAGAAGGAAACTCTGAAGAGAGAAAGTTGAAGCCCTTTGAGTATCAGGAGGAAGAGACTTCAAGCAGGGAGGGCTACTGAGTATAATGTCCTCATGTGGGGCTGAGATGAGCATTTTCAAGGAATAGCAGGAGGCCACTGTGGCTGAGGTTGTAAGCCATGGAGACAGTGTTAGTGGGTTAGGAAATGAGGTCAGAGATCTGAGCAGTAGCCAAATCACAGAAAACCTTGTAGACTAGCATGGAGACTTTGGATGTACTCTATGTGCAAATGGGAATCCACTGAGCATGGAAGGGAATGAAGCAGGTGTGTATTTTTGATTGACAGGAAATTGAGGCTGTTTTGTAATTGACTGGATGTGAGCTCCCACTTAGGATTCAGCTACATCTTTAGTGCTCAGTGCAGGGCCTGGCATGTAGGATGTCTGTGTAAATGCTTGATGAGCAAATGGATGAGCATATGTATAGAACATGTTGAGGGTCAAGGGTTAGCATGGGCTTTGTATGGGAAGCATGCTTCTTATGGCCTGGATTCTTCCAGGAATGAAAATCAATTATCATTCCAGCCTCCTCCCTGCTTCTCTCACCAACCATATTCAGTCAGTCATCTGGTTCCATTGATTGTTCTGTCGATATCCTTCTCTGTCAAAGCCATCCACTTGACTTTATCTTTCCATCACTGGCCCCAGCTCAAGCACCAGCTGCTCTTGCCCAGACCACTGCATAAGCTTCTTCCTTGGTTTGCCCATTTCCCATGTTTCCTGCTAGTCCATCCGTGAAGGATGCTTATGACCCTTTCCCTCCTCTGCCCCAACCCTCCCCCTGCTTTCTCCAGAATTGAATGCCAATGTCACTATTCACCAGCCCTTAGGCAACTCCTGTCTCTCTCTCCAAGTCTTGGGACATGAAGCAGTTGGACCAGATTATTCTGTTCCCAGATCTAAGATGCTGGTACTATCACCCTTCCCTCTCCTTTTAAATCTCCTCATGTTTATGATTTTTCTTAAAGATTTTATTTATTTATTCATGACAGAGAGAGAGAGAGAGAAGCAGAGACACAGGCAGAGGGAGACGCAGGCTCCATGCAGGGAGCCTGACATGGGACTCGATCCCAGGTCTCCAGGATCACACCCCAGGCTGAAAGTGGCGCTAAACTGCTGGGCCACCAGGGCTGCCCTATGATTTTTTTTTTAAGTAGGCCCCACCCAGCATGGAGCCCAGCTCAAGACTTGAACTCACAACCCTGAGATCAAGACCTGAGCTGAGGGCACCTGGGTGGCTCAGTCAGTTGAATGTCTGCCTTGGGCTCAGGTCATGATCCCAGGCTCCTGGGATCCAGCCCCACATCGAGCTCCAGGCTAAGTAGGGGGTGGGGGGGTCTGCTTCTCTCTCTTCCTCTCCTCCTGCTCATGCTCTCTCTCTCACTCACTCACTCATTCTCTCTCTCAAATAAGTAAATAAAATCTTAAAAAAAAAAAAAAAAAAAAAAAAAGACCTGAGCTGAGATCAAGAGTTGGATGCTCAACCTACTAAGCTACCCAGGCACCACCATTTTTATGATTTTTAAAAGTCTTTCATTTTTTACTTATTGTCCTATTTTTTAAAGTAATCTCTATGCCTAATGTGGGGCTCAAACTCACAACCCTGCGATCAAGAGTCACATGCTCTACCACCTGAGCCAACCAGGCATCCCATTTTTGTGTGATTTTCAATTGTGGTGGGGCAGTATAGTGCCATGATGAAAGCCTCAGTGGGAATTCTGCTTCCCCTTTGGAAAAACTTCACCCCTGGGTCCTTCTGTTTCCTCAGCTGGGGAATGACAGTAACAATGACATCTGACTTATGAGGTAAATAAAAAAAAAATAACTTAATTTGCATAAAGCACTTAGAACGTCCCCAAACAGTGGCACTCCATCAAGTGCTTATTATTCTGGCTGTTGCTGTCACTACTACTATGTATGTACATATATTTGTATTTAGCAGGCACTGGGTCAGCCCTCCACATCTATGATGGAGATCAGGGGTCAGCAAACTACCATTTGCCCCAGCACCTGTTTCTATCTGGTTTTCCAACAAAGCATGGTTTTTACATTTTTAAATGGTGCGAGGAGTGGGAGAGGGGGAGGAAGGCACAAAAGAAGAGTATTTCATTGCTCATAAAAATTACATACAATTCAAATTTCAGGGTCCATAGAGTATCAGTGGGACACAGCCACACTCACTGCTTCACCTCTGGTTGCTTTGGCACTACAACCCTACGGCTCACAAAACCTGAAATATGTACTAGTTGGCCCTAGACAGGTTTGCCACTCTTTGACCAAGATTTGTCCTCTTGACAACTTCACAGAGGAAGGCTGTAGCCCATGCAGTGAAGGGGAAGAACTTGAACCCAGGTCTTCCTAGGTTCACAGCAACATGAATTGTCAGCCACCACACCCCACAACCTTGAAAGCACACGATTGAACTCCTTGAGGTGGGGCACACAGGCCATGTCTGCCATGTCTGTAACGTGAATTCGACAAAGGGAAGTGGAGTTCAATCCCCCACAAATTACTCTATTGTTACATCACAAGCCTGACCTCCAGCCCTGATAGCACCATTGATCCTCAGCCTGACCTTGGGAAGTCAGGTTCTGGGGCACTGCAGGAGCATGAGTGCGGGTGTTGTGAGAGAACACCGTCTGTGTGCACCACCCCTCTACCACTCAGCTGTGCAGCTCCTTGTGTAAGCAGCAAACAATGGGTTTTCTTTCTAGTGGTCTGGGTGGATTGAATAAGATCTCCATGCTTCCTACCCTTGTCCGACTTTCTCTCTCTCTAGGCCACTATTTTTCTGTATGAAAAATGATGAGACCTTTCTGCTCTGACGCTCCAGGATGGTGATATTCTACACGTCTTATTTTAGCTCAGTGTCTGGCTCTGCATGCCGTGATTCAAGTTTACAGGGAGGTTGCACCCTGGTTTCTCTGGAAAAGGTCTCATCAGGTTAGGTTGGAGGCATGGGGGAGGTTTAGCTGAGTGAGGAACAGGGATGAGACTGGAGATTGTCAAAGATCCATCTTCAACTCTTTGCGTAGCCAACTCTGAAGACGGATCCGAGTGCAGGCCCCAGGGGACAGAATGGAAATGAGACATCAGCGGGGTTTGTTCATAAAATTATCCACAGAATGATAAGAATTAGAATGGAGTTTAACAAAATGATGTTGAATTAATTTGAACTGGGTTGCAGAATGGAGTCAGAAGGGACCAGTGTTAGTCGGACTGGATTGCTGAGTGAAATGTGTCAGGGCTGGGTTGACCTGGCCTGACCTGACTGGAGAGGGAATGAACTGGACCAGACAGTGCTGACATTGGAGGTGGGTAACATCTAAGAAAGAACTCTGCTCTGGAGCTCATGACACTCGGTCCCCCAGCACCGGTTCATGCTGCTGTCTTGGGCAACTCCCTGCACCACTATGGGCCTGGGTGCCCCCATTTTATCGAGTGCTAATAATAACTCCGTGACAGAGATGTTAAGGGAAGGGTGTGAGATCACACATACAAAAGAGCCTCGTATCTCAAAAGAAAAAAATAAGAAACAAAAACAAATACTGAGAAGTAGCTAATGACAGGCATAGTGATGTATTGAGAGTGAAGTATACACCTGCAACTCACATTGAACTGCATAAAGAAATAATGATAAGGCGGATTGATGGCTACACAGAAATATAGACAGATTGACAGATAGTCTAGTCATAAGGTAATGGTTGACACTAAGTGGTGAGTACCTGGGTGCTCACTCCAAAATTCTTTCCACTTTTCTGTTTGAAAATTTTCAAATAAAATGTTGCACAGAAAATAAAGAGGGTGCCTGGGTGGCTCAGTCAATTAAGCCTCTGCCTTCAGCTCAGGTCATGATCCCAGGGTCCTGGGATGGAGCCTGGCTTCTGGCTTCCGGCTCAGTGGGGAGTCTGCTTCTCCCTCTGCCCCTCTTCCTGCTCCTGCCTCCCTCTCCCTCTCTCTCTCAAATAAATCAATAAAATCATAAAAGGAAAAGAAAGAGCCTTGGAATATGTTAACTGCTAAAATATCAGGAGCAGTTAAAAAACAGCCTCTGGGGGTGAACGGCAAGTGTGAGTCCCAACTCTCCCTCGTTGCACAAACCTGAGCTAATGACTTCAGGTCTCTGAGAGTGTTTCTCTATTTGTACAATGAGGCTATTAATAGCATTTCCCTCACCGGTTGTCCTGAGTATTAGGACAGAGCCTGGTACCTAATCAGCACCCACGACTGGGTCTTCCCAACAAGCTGTGAAATGGGTGCTGCTATCTCCATTTCACAGAGAAGGAAAGTGGGGCTCAGAGAGGCTCTGCAACCCTGCTAGGATCACACAGCAAGGAAGTAACTTTCTTAATGGAGGAGGGAACCACAGGTTCCTGGAACCAAAAACCAAAAACCAGAAAAAAAAAAAAAAAAAAAAAGGGCCTTAAGTCCTTTCCTCGGGCTCACCAGATAGGATGAAGAAGATGCCAGAAACGAAGGCCAGAATGGTCCTCTGAGGGCGGATGTGGCCGATGTTACTGATGACGAAGGCCGTGAACACTAGGAAGAGACTGACCATGGGGAACGGAGTGGCCGTGCGCACCGTCTCTGAGGGAGGGGTAAAGGGTGAAACAAGGGGTGAGGGGGGACCCTGGGGAAGATGACACCTCCCCATTCCCCTGGACCCGTCCCTTTATGCAGCTCCTCCCCTTTCTGATACTTCCATTGCTGACCCCACCCCTTCACCCAGGCCACACCCTTTGGGTTTGACCCCGCCCCATTCCTGTGGACTCCACCCATTGCCCAGCCCGCTTCATCAACCTGGCTCGTCCTCTTTACCCCACCTCCGTCCTCCTTACCCCACCTCCGCCTTCCTTCTGGCCTCCACCTCTTCCCTCCCACCCCCCTCCCTTTCTGGGGCTGCCCTTCCACCCAGGATTCGCCCCTAGTTCCTGCCCCCTTTTGTCTAGGCCCCCAGCTCCCCCTCACTCAGAATATTCTCCGTGTTTTCCGTCACCAAGTTGATCTCTGGTTCAAGGAAATATTCCGAGGCCACACAGCGACCCTTCTCCCGGCCTGGGGGTAAGGCAAGAAGGCAAAGCTGGATGAGAGGTTCCTGAGCTCTGGAGAGGCAGTGAGGGGCAGGTGGTACAGTAGGGAGACCTCGGGATGGGTACATGAGGCTTCATCCAGGGGTTCCCGTCTATACAGGGGGTCACAGAAGGGGCTGCACAGGAGATCTGGGAGCTCCCCTCTCGAGCTCCCCTGAAGACCCGTGGTTGGAGGACACGGCTGGAACCCGGGTCCCCATGAGGAGGGGCAATGGGCCAGGACTCCTGAATCCCTAAAGAGGATGGGGGGGGCAGATTCCTAGAAGGGTCTCCGCGGTCACTGGGGGGCATGAATTTTTTATCCTGCCCATTCAACACCAGAACTGTGGAGGGGACAAGCTCTGATGCTAGACTATTGCTTCTAGATGGGGACTCGCAAGGGATTAGGAATTTGGGGATCATGTGAGCATCGCGACTCTTGGATCTGGAAATAAAGGGCTAGGAATCAGATCTCCAGATAGAAATGTGCGTCTCCAGGAGAGAAACAGGATCAGTTTCTGGGTTTCTGGAACCCAAGAGTTGGGACTATGGATAAGGACTCTTGGGTCCAGGGCAAAGCAGGGACAGTTGAATGGAGGACAGGTGGGGTCTGTACCTGCGAAGAAGCAGACTCGCCAGAGGCCAGCGTGCAGTGCCATCTTGACCTCCGTGGTCTGGTTCTGCGGCAACACCGTTCCCTCCTCCATGTACAGCCAGTAATCAGTGCTGACTGCGATGCCCACGAGCAGCAGGCCACACGCACCAAACACGCTGCTTAGCAGGGTCAGGGCGCGGCTGCTGCAGTGACTCATTCTCAGCGGCGGGGGGCGCCCTGCGGGGCCTGAGACACAGGAAGCCGCGGCCTTGGAGAGCCATAATGGGACTAACTAGAGTCCCCAACCCCATGCAGTCACCAGGGACACTAAATCCAAGCCAGAGACACCATTTCTCAAACTGAAACTTCTCAACGGACATTTGTGCCCTAGCCCATGACCCCATTTCTGGATTTGGACCAGTGACATCAACAGTTGACCTCCAACCCCAGGACTGGTCTTCCCAAGCCTGACACTTGTGTTCTGCTCTGGGTCCTGATGACAGATTCCACACTAGATCCCTGACCCCAGGATAAGATTTCCAACTATCACCTACAGCCCAGATCTAGAGATGAAACCTTAGCTCCAACCATGTGTCTGGACCTACGTCCCAAATATCCTGACTGCCTAGAAACTCAACTTCCATATTCTCAAAGTCAGAACCAGGCCCTCCAACCCTCCCATTATGCCCTGACCAGAGACCTTCACCCTGAACCAGCCCTCACCAGAATCCTTAACCTTGAGCCTAAGCTCAGAAACTATTACACCGATCAGGCATTTCAACACTAGAACCAGGCTATCCCCCCAATCCTGTCTTCTGGCACCCTGACCCCTTTCTTTTGGACTTTGCTAAATAATTACCAGAAATCTCCCAAGTGGGTCACTAACCAGAACCCTAACTAAGGGTCCTACTAACCAAGGACCCAATAACCAAGACCTGAGTAGAGGTCCCCATCTAAGTTTAAACCCTTGGACTCTTATCTTGACCTTTAACACCCAATTCTAATACCAGGACCATGACCCATGACCTTCTAACTTAGATCCTGTGACTTGACCTTGATTTGGTACCCCAATCTGAGATCATGGCCCACGACTCAGCTCTAAGATTCCAGAATTCTAATCCCCCCACCATCTGAGGTCCAGGCAGGTCCAAGACCCTGGGATGTTGGAACTCCATCTCAGACTACTGGATCCCAGAACCCTGGGACCCCAAGACCTAGAGCCTGTATTTTGCGAGAGACTCCAGAATGTCAAAACCAAGATCTGGGACCCCCTTCCCCTCCAACTCAGCACCCTAACCAGAGTACTCTAGACCATCCTTGAAACTAGGGATCAGTGCTCTGAACCTTAAAATCCCAAATCGGGAAGTCCAGGATTTCCATCTCTTTCATGTGCCATCACAATATCCCTAAATTCCCTACCAGAGATTCTGGACTCCAATTTCCATGCTAGAACTTCCAATTACAGACCGTCTTTAACACCTAGCCTGGAACTCTGACCCTGGGCCCTCAAAACAAGAGATCCCCAGTTAATAGCTCTGGCCTTCCAAATTCCACGCAGGGATCTAGAGATTCGAACTAGGGAGCTACTAATGTCTTATCTACCACCCTTGCTCCCCAACCCCATAACTTTTCCATAAACCACAAAATCCCATGATTTGGGGGACTCAACTTGGGATTCCCCCATCCTATCTCAGCCAAAGACCTCTCTACATCCCTGAATACCAGCAATCCCCATCATCTTTTTTTTCACCATAAAGGTTAAGACCCTAAACATTGCCCAACAATGCAGCCAAGACTTGAGACCCGCCTTTCTCTAATCAGAATTCTGAGCCTTTAAAACTGCCCCAGGCCAGGATCTTGTAGTCAGACAACTTTCATCATCCCAGACCCCCGATGCACACGCACACACACCTCAGCGTCCAGAGCCCCCATTCCGCCAGGCCCCACCCCCAGCCTCCTGGAGGAGTCAGGAATCCGAGTCTGGCAGAGCTCTGACCAGCTTTTCCTCCCATCCCCCGTCCCAAGGCTCCAGGGCTTGACCGCCAGCTGCCGGCTCCTTTTCCAGCCCGCTCAGCTCGGAAACAAGCATCAAAACCCCAGTCACCCTGACTGCCTGAGTCCCAGGTAGCTGACCTCAGCTCCCCTCACCGCCCCACCATGGCTCCTTGGACTCCAGCTGGGACCTTGTCCATGGACACCCTTCTCACTTGCCCTTTGAACACCAACCCCCCGTTTCTTGGCTCCAATTCCGCCCCACTCCAAAAGGCCCGCCCGGATCTCCTCTTTCTCCTCCAGCCCTTCCTCCTTTGGGACCCTCCCCCAGGCCTGGAGCCACCTTCTTCTCCCTCTTTATATATCGCAGCCTCTGCTGGATTCAGGCATTCGGATCCCGGGGGTCCCATTCGCCAAGCCCCAAGTCCAAACTCCGTCTCCCTCCGATCTGCTGGGGAACGTATTCCTCGTTTCTGGGGACCCCTTCTCAGACACATCCTGCCCTCCCCGAGCCTGGGCCTTCCCCGCTTCATCCGGGATCGCCTCCCTCAAGGACCTGGCCTGCACCCTCCTCAGAGCCCACGGTCCCTAAGACTCGGACATTCAGAGTAGAGTTGCCCCACTCCAGGACCCTAAGACCCGGTGCTCCTGGATTCCCTAGGCCCAATGCCCCCCACCCTTCCATTGCCTCCCGAACTCAGGCGTCCTGACCGCCAGAATCCCACATTCCGGGGCCGCTCGGGCTCCTCCTAGCCCCCACCCCCGGCTCCCCGCCACCTCCGGGGAGCCCCCACTCCTCCCAAGACCCTCCCCTCTCGCTCACCTCGCTCAGGGCTGGGCGCACGCTCCGGGCCGCGGGCCCCGCAGCCGCATGACCGGCTCCGCGGCTTCCCCCGGCCGCCACCGCCGCCACCGGGGTCGCCGGTGCCCGCGCCCCCCGCCCCCGCCCCGGAGCCCGGCGTCCCGGCCCCCTCCCGGCCTCCCACCCCCCACCCCCCGCGCCCGCGGCCTCACTCGGCGGACGGCGCCGGGAGCTGGGACCGGCGGCCGCTCATTGGCTACTGCGGAGGAGGGGAGGGGCGGGAAGGGAGGGGGAGGCTGCAGGGAGGGAGGGAGACGGGCCTTGAGAATGGGGGAGGCAGGGAGGGAAGGAGAATAGAAACAGAGGCAGAGAGCCCGAGAGGGGCAGGGGCACACCGAGAGGCCGAGAGCCCGAGCGGAGGAGCTCAAGTCCCACCGAGACCTCGAGGCTGAGAAATTCTGAGACTCGCAGGTCTGGAGACTGGGGGACCCACAGAGCTGGCCTAAGAGAGACAGAGAGAGAGAAGGAGAGGCAGAGATGAAGTCTAAGACCCCCGCTGCCCTCGGGCTCAGAGCTTCTGGGGCTCTGGAAGTGGACAGGTCCGAGAGACAGAGACAGAGAGAGACAGGGAGACGCTCAGAGGCCCCGGGCTGAGAGATGCTGAGACCCAGAGACCTTGAGCCAGGGAAAGAGACAGACGAGAGAGAAAGAGACCCTGTGAAGGAGAGAGAGCAGGGGCAATCCTGGGGCTCCCCTGATGCGGACTGGGGCTCTGGGCAGGCCTGGGGCGGAGCCTGGGGTCTGGGCGGCTGGAGGAGGCGGGAGGGGGCGTCCCGGGCCGGGGTCCCCAGAGCAGCAGGCGGGCGCAGAGCGGAGCCGGGTCCTGCAGCCGCCGCGGAGCCGGGAGCGGGGCCAGCCACCCCCCACCGCCGTGATGTCAGCGGGGCCACTCTTAAAGGGGCAGGCCGCCCGCCGAGGGTCGGAGCGGGGGCTGGGGGCTGGGGGCCGCGGGCAGAGCATGGGGGTACTGCCGCGGTGCTGGGGGAGCCACGGGGAGCCCCAACATCCAACTGGACCGAGTACCGGAAACCCAAGAGTCTGCAGAGACGAAGAGACGCCAGGGCTCCCCGAGGGAGCCTACGAAGCTTTGGGGCTCAGTCCCCTCCAAACACACAGACGTAGGCACACCAATTCAACTGGCCTGCCCCGGACCTGGGACTACATTTTCCATCAGCCTTGGCGGTGAAAGGCCGCACCTGGGGGAAGGGTCCGCCGCGGTGTCTGCTGGGAACTGTAGTCCGTTGGGACTTCTTTCCACTCCACCCCCACGCAAGTGGGCCAAGGCAAAGAAGCCGGGAGGGCTCGTCAGCCCCTCTACGGCCTCGGTGGCTGGCTCTCAAGCTCACAGGCTCTGTTTGTTTGTTTTCTCTGTGGTGTGGTCTCCCAGGTCTCTCAACAGGAGGGTTGGTTGGCTTTCATCTCTCAGGACTGCCCCCAACCCCATCCCAGTCTGGGGGGGCTCAGTGTGAGTCTGTGAGCTTGTGTCTTGCTCTGGGTGAGTAGGTGCATGCTAGTGTCCCTGTGCTGGGGGGTCTCTACCTGACACCCCCCGTGGTCTGTGCGTTCATGCCTACCTCCTCGTGCAGGTGCCCTCTGGTCCTCTCTGGGGCACTTATGCCTCCCCCCACGTCTCATCTCTGCTCCTTCCCTCTTGCTCTGTGGGTACCTTCTCCCCACTTTATGCATCTCGGTGCTTTCCCTCTCTCTGCCCCCTCCCCAGCCTGTGTGTGTGTTTCCGTGTAGTGTCCCACCTCCACACCCCCTTCATTCTGCAAGCTTAGAAGAAAACATCCAAACACTTCAGCATCAGCATCCCAAATTTATTCTCCAGCAGCTGTGGCCGGGTGGGAAAGCCAAAGAGAAGAGTGGGTGCAGGGGGAGGAGGAGAGAGTCCCGAAGAGTGGCAGGCACGGGCTGGGGGGGAGGGGGTTCCGAGCAGGACTGGAGCCATGCACCTGGCAGGCGAGCAGTGATGGGTTTAGGGTGGGGGTGTCTAGAACAAAAGTTGATTGAGAACAGCTGGGGTAAAAATCCTTCATACACCCCAGGAATTCCTAGAGTGTAGAAGAGGAGTGCTGGAGCATGGGGGCACAGCCTCCCATTTAGTCCAGAATGGAGTGGAGGTGGAGGGGGGGAGGTCAGAGGTAGGGGTTTGTTCTGGAATCCAAGTCTGGAACAGCCCACCCCATGAGACTATTTCCCAGAAAGAAAGAAAAAAAAAAAAAAGAAAAGAAAAGAAAAAGAAGACGCACAGATTCTACCAAAATGGAGTCTAGAACCCCATGGAATTGAGATAGTGGTGCTGGTTCTGGAACCTGGTAGAGCAGAGTCCAGAACACCGAGGTGGGTGAGAATCCAGGGCTCAGCACAGCAGAATCTAGAACACGGTAAGGCCCTAGAGACTGCATGGAGTTTAGAATGCCAGGAACGCTTGGGAGGGGCATCTAGCATCCACAGGGCAGAGGCTAGAATGCTGGGGAGCAAGATCTAAATTGGAAAGGGGGATGGGGTGGGTGCTAAGGCCGGCGCGGGAAGGGAGTGCTGGGGACACCTCGTGGCGACAGGAGAGATTACATGACGGGCACAGCCGGTGGGCTGATGGGGCTGCGGGCGTCCGGGTGCACGAAATCCGGGTTCACGTAGGTGAAGCCTTGGAAATCCGCCTGGTCGATGCTGGCCAAAACTAGGCGGTCTGGCGGGGTCAGCGCTGGCGCGGCCCGCGTGAAGAATTTGTCGAAGTTCTCGCCGCTGCGTCCACACTGGGAGACATGGGGAGGGAAAGATGAAGCTCTCCTCCCTCCCTGTGTGTCCCTCTGTGGCCCCTCCATCCATTACCTGTTTCCTTTGGAATCTCTGCGCAATCTTCCTGGCAGAGGAAGCCCCCCTCCCCCGCACAAACGGGAACGGGAGCTCCTGGGCACCCCCACCCCTGGGGACCAAGGCTGTCTCCGCAAGGTGGCTGACCGGGCGGGGTCTGAACGGAGGCGCGATCTCCAGTCGTTCCAAGCGCTCCCAGTCCATCCAGCGGAAAAAGCCGTGAGCACGGATGGCAGGCTCCCCGTCTGGCCCCGAGCCCAGGCGCTTCGCTGGGTGCTTGGTTAGGAACTGTGGAAAACACAGAGACAGACAGACAGACAGAGTCCCCGACAAGGAGGCACACAGAAGGAGCAGGAGAGAAAGACAGGAACAGAGACACGGCAGAGACCCAGAGAGAGAACAGCAAAGAGGGAACAGGGGTGGGGAGGCGGGCAGAAAGAAGAATGGGGGAGAATCAGTGAGAATGAGATAGGTGAGCTCCAAACCCAGAGACCCAGGGACAGAGAGAGAAAGAGAGAAGGATCAGGGCATCCGTGTATGGGGGGCAAGAACCCCAGAAGGAGGAAGCGGACATGGGAAGAATCCCCAAAAGGGACAGAGGAGAAGGAGGAGAGGAGAGAGAAAAGAGAGGGATGAAGGGAGCCCAAGGGAGAGACAGTGATTGGAGACCCAGAGCAAAGGGGCATAGAGATCCCAAGATAGGGGGAGATAGAGACCCAGGGAAAGTGGGAAATAGGCAAATGTTGGGGGGGAAGCAGAGATGCAGAAAGAGAGGAGGATGGAGACCCCAGAGGCAAGCCCCCAGAGAGAAGGGTAAAGAAGGCGGAAACTCAGAGAGAGGAGAGGAGTTCCAAAAAGAGGACAGAGACCCAGAGTATGGGTGTATGGGAGTTGGGGGTAGGAGGAGAACACACACCCAGCAACAGGTGGACAGAGATCCCCAGAGAAAAGGTAGAGACACAGGAAGCCCCATCAAATGGGATGGAGGCAGAGGTGGGAGACAGAACCCAGAGAGGGACAGTCAGAGAGAATAGAGACAGGAGCCAGAAGCAGAAGTGTGCCAAAGCCTGAGAAGCTGCCCCAGGCTAGGCTCTTACTCCTGCATTAACTCCATCACCCCAGTAGGGGAGGGAGGCTCCCAGAGTTTAGGTGGCTTGCCCAAGATCCCACAGGAAGAAAAGTGGCAGGAATTAGGTTCACCTGACCCACCCAGTTCTGGAAACCCACCCTGGCCTTTTAGTACTCCCTGCAGGGAAGTGGGTGCTGCAGAGAGGAATGAAAGGTCATCCTTAGACCAGAGGTAGCAACAGGGCAGTCATTTAGTGTTCTGATGACTTCTCTGTATCCTACAAACTTTCCCAGCAGATGAAAGTGAAGTAATGTGAGGGGTGGGAGCCTGGTCCTCATGTGCACAGAGATACTGCATGGTATCTGGTTGGTTGAGGGTGGGCACAGGAGTTTGTGTGGAGAACCTAGGGGTCAGGGGGCTCTCACCCCCTTGCAGATCGCCACAGCTTCCCGGGAAAGCGACTTGGGGTAAGTGACTGTTTGTTCCATGATGGCCTGAAAGAGCTCTTCCTCATCCTCCCCATCAAAAGGAGGCTGAGGAAATAGAGGGATAGAGTCAGAGCTTGACAAACTGCCTCTACCCACCTTCCACACCCTCATCACCAACCATGAACATGAACACCCCCCTCCGACATCCTAGGGAAAAATTTAAACAAGCCATCAAAGCTTTATCTCTCTCTCTCTCTCTCTCTCTCTCTCTCTCTCTCTCAGACTCTCTAGTTTCCTAACTCAGATGCACCAGCTCTCTGCACCTCTTTGCTGTTCTGTCTTGCTCTGCTATGCAAATCAGCAGGGTGTTAATTAGACAATATGTCATTTAAATAGAAGAGAGACAAAAAAAAAAAAAAACAGGAAAAACTGTAAAAGCATTCGCTTGGTTGGATGAGTGGCTTCCAGTCTTCTGGGATTAGGAAAAGCAATACCAGGGCAAGGATTCTTTTTTTTTTTCTTTTTTCTTTTTTTTTTTTTAGAGAGAATGAGTGAGAGAGCGAGTGAAAAAGAGTGTGTGAGTGCAGGAGTAGGGGAGAGGAGAGTAAGGAATAGAGGGGGAGAGAGAGAGAATCCCAAGCAGGCTCCATACCCAGCATGGAGCCCAACATAGGGCTTGATCTCACAACCCTGAGATCATGACCTGAGCTGAAATCAAGAATCCAATGTTTATCTTACTGAGCCACCTAGGTGCTGCCCCCCTCGAGGCAAGGATTC